ATGCCTTTCCTTTTGTACAATTTCTTCTTTTGAGCCATTTTTGGCTTTTAAGAGGAAGAAAAGGTAAAAGTAAATATAAGAAGTTCACACTCACTTAGTTGAAGATATTGTTAGATTTAACTCGTCTCTGTGGAAAACCTAATGAGTTAGTATTTATGAATCTCTTGATTTCTGAAATATTTATGTCTAATACTTCATCCCATGTTCCATTGTTTTCTTTTGACCTATGACTTATGAAATAGTGGAAGAAATGGAATGCAGTGGATAAAAGTGTTCAGTAACAAGCTAACAACTGAAACTTCTTTGAAAATAAACAATGTATCGGCCTGCAGTGGACATTTTTCAAATTTATTCTAATGAAGTAACATACAAAAGTGCATTTTATGTCTATGCAGTCACAATCCACTGAATGCTCACCATGTTTTAGAGGCACAGTTATTTAATACATACATTCCAAAAACCTTTCTCGATAGAGTGTTATTTAGTATAAGGGAAATTTAGCTGAACAGATATGTCTGTTTTCCTGTACGGTTCCCCATTAAACATAGTTTTCCATCTGTATTCTTACAAAAGAGAAATTATCAAGGGGTGGAAGGACTTGTCACCTGTTTGTTTTCTGTGCCCTCATTTCTACTCACTAGAGGGTATGTTGCTTCCTGTCAGAAACCTCGTCTCTGATGCTTTGCTTCTCAAGGCAACTGCAAGCTCCACTCATCTCCACCTGCCAGGCTCAGGCTCACAGCTATACTTGGATTTGTTCCTGCATAAAGCAGACCTATTTAAAAACTCACTGGCTGACAGGGAAGATTTCAGTTCTTCCTGGCACTGATGACCCATTCAGTCCCCTCACGCTCTGCCTGGAGCCTTGCTGCCCCTTTTCCCCAAGTGCAGCCATCCCATCTTGCCAGCCTGGGATCTATTCAATTCGTCTAAGCCTGGTTTTGCAGTCCCATCTAGACTCTTGTTGTAGCTGTAGCCTTTCTCCTGTATCTCAGGCCTTCTTTGGGCATGGTCTATTCCTTTGGACCCCATCATTTCAGCCCTAGTGAAAAAAATACCCTTGTAAACATAATTGCAGATTCAGTACTAGTATCTTTGTTGGATGCTATATTTATATAATAATAAAACTATTTATATATTTTATTATAGTATAATTATATAATATTTACAGTATTTAATATTTCACCTTGTTTTTTGTTTTAACCATTTAAAATTAAATCATACTTTCTTACATATTAGCTAATATGGGACTCTATATTTTACCAACATGCAAATTCATGGGCAATGTGTTTTTAACTCTGCAATTTTAAATCTTTTGTGAATGAACACATTTTGTTTTGTTATTAGAATTACTAATTAGATTAGTAGAATATTTATGTTTTAGGATATTACCATTATTTAGACAATTAGTTTCCTTTTAAGTATTGTTGGGTATTTGAGGATAAGTTGTTCAGTTTTCTTTAATAATGTTTTATTGTTGTTGTCAATCATCTTGTAAGAAAAATAGCTGGAATACACATATCTTGATAAATTGTAAACCATCTTTCATATTTCTCCTTTCTCTCTATGCTCCTATCTCTTCTTTCATTTCAATTTGCATAAGAACTCTTTCTTACCAAATCAGACATGAATCAGTTGAGATGGGATTAAGTTATTTAGGCAGATATTAGATAACACTTCTGAAAAAAAAAAAAAAAGTGCTGGTTTGTTCTGCTGGTACATGGCATCATTTTCCAAAGTCATTCCTCATGGTTTCTTGATATTGCTACTTCCCTGCCAATATTTTTAAAGTGAGTTTCACAAATCAACAGTTCTCAAAGTGTGGTCCCAGAGCAGCAGTGTCAACATCTCTTGGGAATAAACAGAAAATATACATTATCTGGCTCCAACCCAGCCCTACTGTACCAGAAATAAGATTGGAGGGGGCACAGCATTCTGTGTTTAAACAAGGCCTCCAGGTAATTTTGATGCACACTGAAGTCTGAAAACCATTGCTATAGGAAATAAAAAACAAACGTGGGTTCTTAAAGTTAAAAAGCAGCACAATTAGTGATTTAAAATACCTGCTTGATAGAATTGTTTCACAAAGATAAATATTTTTTTAAAATCATTTTAATGGAGCAAATTTTAACCACTCCCTTTTGAAATGGTCTTTCTAGCAAAAACCTTAACACATTTTTCAGTAAAACAAAGTGTTCAATTAAGAGAATACAGTGATATATTCATTGTCAAGGCAGAAAGCTTTCTTCCTCATTATAATGGAATTCAGTTAAATATGGTTAGGTAACATGATGTGCTGCCTTCATATTTATGTGCCTAGTTTTCTGCTGGATTAAATTTGTTCACTTTTTAATTGAATCAGAAATTCTTAGAAATTAGCCATTATGAGAGAATAGATTATGAATATTTGAAAATTAAAAATAATATATATCAGTAAAATTTCTTTCGAAAGTTGCAAGACATAGCATCCAAAGGAAGATCAGAGAGTTCTATATTATAACAAAAAGGGTTGACTTGAGTTGCTGGGTTAAAAAGTGTATTAGGACAGAAAAAGCAGAAGGCAGACCAGAGGGTAGGGGCACCATGGGTCAATTTTACCTGCTTGTATTGACTAGAGATGGCCCTCGAAAAATTCCTTTAGGGCAAGTTATCCAATTACTTTTTTTTTTTTTTTAATGAGCCTTGATGATAAACAGAGACAGAGACCAAGATAGAGACAGAGCCCTATATCATGTGAATCTTATTAAATTCACCTGATTGTTTTCTGCTTTCTCCAATGTCCAGTGTAATGCCAGTACTCTCTCCCTGCTTATTTTTCCTAGGCTTTATCTGCTAACATTTGAGCACACAAACATTTCAATGAAAATGTAATCGTCCTTCTGGGTCCACTATAATACGTAATGTTTCATGTACCATCCATTTGAAGGATACTCAATGTCAAGATCCTTTTTTTAACATTTTATGTTTTTAACTATCAAAATATGGGCATGAATATCAAGGGTCAATACAGCGATAAGGAACAATACTGGTTAATGATGTTTACTTCAATATTTTGGAATAAGTATTATTTATTGGCATTTTGGCAATGATGTTTTTGGTTGCTAATTCAGACTCTGGAATTGATGGAAAGGAAAGAATGTAAAGAAAAGTTTTACTTTTCATTTTTATAACAAAATATTTTCTCTATGCACAACAGGTGCCACTGACATATGATTAATTCCAAATGTAAGAACTGAACTTTATCAAAAGGTTCTTGACCAAAGAAAATAAGATTGATGTTCAGCCTTGTCTATATTCCTGCATAAACTCTTTGGGTCCAAGTTTCATTTACAGTTTTACACGAGATCATGCCCCTTTGATTTACTACTAATCCCACTGGAGCGGGAATTATGGTGGGAATGTGAGTGATGTGTTTATGCTAAATGCTAATACTTTAGTTGGTTTCACATAAGAATTTTAAGCTATTGGGACTATGTATATAATTGGGCTTTTCATTGCAGATAATTAATGAGGCAATGTTCTTTCTTCAGTTTTCAGCCATAGAATTGATTGCAATTTGTCATTTCTCAGGAAATGAATGTGAAATCCATATACATATTAGTTTCATGGGTCAATAATCTTAAAACTTGAATCATTCCATAAGATTTGTCCAAAATATCAAGACACGAGTATAAATATTGCCTTTATGACTAGTAAACGTTAAACTATCATGTTTATGTTAATTTGGAACCTGAATATTGGATTTTTGGCATTAGATAATCCTTACTAAGTCAAATATCTGCCAGAGAAAAGAATCTTTCTATTATACAGTTTCAGCTCAGTACCAGCAAACATGTAGCATTTAAGATTACGGCATTATGATGTATAATAGTAAATTCCTAAACATATCAATCATTTTCCATCTGCAGCTGCACTATTTCATCTCTGAAAATAATTAATTCAACAGCACTGACTTTGAAGCACTATTCACAATTAAATTCTAACCTACAGAGTTCTATCTGCCAGTAATTCTTAAACTTTTTGTTATCATGACTTTTTTGTAATTTTTCAGTTCTTGCATCTTATAATTCGTCATGGCATAGATGTACTTCAGTCATACAGTTAACAAATATTTACTGGACATTTAATGTAAGGATATGATTCTAGGAACTAGGGATACTTTATAGCATATGTTGTAAGGCATACCAAGTTTTTGTACTTCCTGGAACTTACAAACTAATCTTATTTTTCAAAATAAAATCTGTTTAATGCATTTAAGTGGGAATTAAAGGCAGAATAACTTTGCAATAGCCTTTAAGATACACAGAGAATTACAAAGTCAGGTTTGGAATGATTGTCCGACAATCATATTTTCAACCATAGGATACCCAGAAATTAAGAAAGTAAAAGTATTTTTATTTTGCTTACCAAAGCAATGCCTTGAGTTCTGCGGAAGGCTGTAATGAATATCTGCAATTATCAGATGCTAAATTTGACCATGACTACAATTTGTTTTGCGATACAAACTAAATTATTTTTTGCAGTGCTTAGTGAGTCAGTCAGAGTGTGCATTAAATACTTCACGTCAACAAAGGTAAAATCAAATAAGATCTTGCCTAAGTAGAATAAATAAGATATTCCTCACTGGAATTGTATCTGTGATACCCACTTAGATAGTGTGAAGGAGCAGACCATAAGCACAATCTGGGCAGAGACTCCACTTAAGTTTTGCCCTTATCTTTCCATTGTACAATCTAACTACGTAATCCTCACGATAGACAATACATGCAATGAAAAGTTGTTAGGTGAGTGAGTGAATGAATTAATGATTCAGAACACATTAATGAACTCCTTTTCTCATACAAATATGGAAAGATGCAGTGTTCTGCAATGTTTATCCATATTGCCAAGGGAACGTGGTAATGTTTCCTGCAGTCTGTAAATATACAAATTAATATAGTATGGCCATGACAGTCGCACCTCTTTTTACTTAATTTTCTCCATTTTTCATTTCTTCACAGAGCGATTCAACGTGTATCTTATGCCTACGCCAAATCTGGATATTTATGGTGAATGCACAATGCAGATCACTCATGAAAATATCTATCTCTGGGATATCCACAATGCCAAGGTCAAACTGGTGATGTGGCCTCTCAGCTCACTGAGGAGATATGGTCGGGACTCAACATGGTTCACGTTTGAGTCAGGAAGGTAAGATTTAATGCAGCAACCAAGTGAAGGAGGTGTGTAACAGAGTCCTGAAAGAAAGCTCTACCCATCATTGCCCTCCAGGAGGACTATTTTCATTCAGGGTGAAACTTACCAAATACATAATTTCTTCAGACCCTCTAATGCAGTTCTGTTAATTTTTTGGCAGGTTAATTACCCCATTCAAAATAATCTTGGTCTCTTACACTAGCATCCAACTCAAACTGGTTTTGCAACTATTTTAATAATGTAGTATCTTTTGTAAGATTATTACAGTACTATATTTTTGGTGTGCTTATGTGGAGTAGGATCTCCATAAAATTAAATGCAGCATGTCCTCACCCACCTTGTTTTTGTGAGTTGTTTAAATAAGCAAACAATATTTCTTAAAGTTTTAAATAAAACTGTTTAAATATTGCTTGTAGACAAATATGCTGCTTTCTTGGATGCAGCATATATTTGGAATCCATAAGTATCTGAAATGAACCCTTGCTTCACAATCATTCATAGACATGGATTTAGATGTAAACTACAACCAACCAAATCATTGTCTTTATGCAATGACCCCTTTGTGATATTGTCACACACCCAAGATAAGACTTAGGTTTTGGGATTCTATATAAGGAGATATTTAAAGCTTCCATCTTCACCCAGGGGACATGATTTATCACATTCTTAAAATGAATTCATGGTCTTATAAAGGTAATAGTGAGGTTTCACTACATTTGATATATTTTTAAGTTTATAACTTTCTTCTTATAAAACCACTAAATATTTACTCAAGATCAGATTCTAATAACATCAATCTAAGGTAGGTCGTATGTCTCTTAAAGTTTTAAGGAGAAAAGAAAAAAAAAAACCTGAGCTGGAATTATTTTACCAGTCTGGAGCCCTTTGCACTAAGGTAATAGTAAAGTCTCCACTACACTAATTTCTCTGAAAAGTGTTAGGTCCTGTGTTTGCTTAGTAGTTATGAGCTTGTTCAGCCATTTCTGCCTACCTAGATGTATCGAGAGTATAATAATGTAATCACATTCTGGTAGCCATCGGGAAATACAAATTCTTATAAGAAAATGAATATTTTTAAGATATGATTATTATTTTTAAAATCTTGACTATGAAAAGGAGTTGACATTTTTTAGAGATTCACTGACCTAAAATCTATGATGCATTTTTTTAAAACTGGCTTTAAAAGTTATGTATTCATCCATTTTCACACTGCTGATACAGACATACCCAAGACTGGGCAATTTACAAAAGAAAGAGGTTTAATGGATTCACAGTGCCATGTGGCTTAGGAAGCCTCTCAATCACGGGGGAAGGGGAAAGGCACGTCCCATATGGCAGCAGACAAGAGAAGAGAATGAGAGCTAAACAAAAGCAAAACCATCAGATCCTGTGAAACTTATTAACTACCATCAGAACCGTATGGGGGAAACAGCCCCCATGATTCAATTATCTCCCACCAGGTCACTCCTACAACACAAGGGAAATGAGATTTGGGTGGGGACACAGCCAAACTATATCAGTTTTAAATATACAAATGAATGGATGTTGTTGTTGGGTTTTGTTGATGTTTTGTTTTTGTTCTTGCATCACTTACCAGCACTACCTCCAGGATCCCCTCCCCTGGATCTTTCTGGATATGCCTTTCTTCCTCTTTCTATGGAAAACAATTTAACTATTTTGTCTGTTCCATCATTTCAATAGACTTCCATTCAAAATTTTAAAGAACAAGTCATTTTCTTTCATAAAGAACAATTATTCAGAATTTTCTCTCCATTTATACCTGCCCACATTAGTTTTTTTAAGATCTTTCTACTTGATAGAGGAATTTGGTATCTATGTTTTTCCCTCTGTTGTTTGTCTCTGAGTTTAAAGATTTGTCCTTTGGACACAGTTCATTTGTGTTTTTTTCCTTCTCTGAATTTTGGGTATTGTTTGCTCATAAGTGACTGAGAAATTGTCCATAATTTTATGCATCTATTTTGTAAATTCCAGATGATCTCACACTTATTAAAAAGAGCCAGTGCTGGGAGGTCTTGTCCATACTTGATCTAGAGAAGTAAAAGTAGAACATTGCATTCCCTGGCTCTGGATTGTTGGGGGTACTGGTGATGAGATTGGTGACAATTTAGAGGGCAGATTGGCAGGTAAGGCATGACCAGTCATCCTAGCAAACCTAAGCCAAAGGCCAAGACTTTTTTTTTTTTTCTTTTTTTGAGATGGGGTTTTACGGTGTTGGTCAGGATGATCTCTATCTCCTGACCTCGTGATCCACCCGCCTTGGCCTCCCAAAGTGCTGGGATTACAGGCGTGAGCCACCATGCCCAGCCAAAGCCAACACTTTCTAGGTTTTATTAGCTCATTGCCCAAAGCATATCATTTGGTATAAATTTTAGCCATTTATTTATACTACTATATGTACTAGAAAATACAATTGGATATGTCAGAATACTTTTTTCACTGGCAGACTTTTTCGAATGCATTGTTAAAGTCTACTGTAAACCTAAAATGTAGACATGAACAGTAGGAATGGATCTACATCATTTATTGTGGAGGAGTATCCTTTAGTCACCCTCATAATTATAATCATATGCCTAAGTCTTAAGGAGCTCTCGCCCCATGTGAGGCAGAAGAAAAACAAGGACCAGGATGCTCTCTGTGGTTATGGTCCTCAGCACAGCATGGTGCCCGGGAGATGTATTCACAGTCTCAAATCAGCTCGGAGCAATTGCTCTTTTACCATAAGGATCATAACTTTGCATTTTAAAAGTAAAAAACAACCAATTTGCTGTGCAAGCAGATTTTCAAGAAAAATCACAAAAAATATCATACCTTCAGAGGAAGTGATAAGATTCATGATTATGTAAAACTTTATCTGGTGAAAGACAAAACTCCTTTATTTAACTGCTGACTTGACATTTTCACTTCATATTACCTCATAAATATTGTAAGCAAAAATCAAGATGAGTTCAACTGCCTGCATGGCCAAAATTCAAGTGAGCCCCTGATCCTTGGTATGAATTATTGTTCAAAACGGAAGCACTCATATTCAGCACGATGCTTACTAATACAAAATTGGTGCTGAAAATATGTGTCTCACTAACTTTGACAATATTGCTTCCATTTGGAAACCTAGGAAAAATCTGGTTACCGATTTTTAATGATTAGAAATTTAAAATACCTAAATATTGCAATATAGTTATTATAAAAAGATGGTTAATAGACACAAATGTTATATGTCATACAATTAAGAATTCTGTGATGTCAGAAGTAGGCTTAAGTTATTCCTAATCCTGTGTTGGTCAGAGATACAAAGAGAAATAATCTTTTCTCTAATGCATAACCAAGTGATTAAGAGGAAAGATAATGCAGAGAGTTCTTAAATATGATGCAAAAGCATAAAAATATAAATAATTACATAATACATGTTATGTTATATAAGGTATAAGGTCTAAACTAGTAAAGGAATTTCTAAAACATTCTCACATATGGACTCCAACTTTTCTGTATCAACCCAGAGTTTTCAATGCCCTTGGGGATTTCTTTTTTTTTTTTTTTTAATCTATATATCATTTGATTTGCCATCAAGAGTGTTAGTGGTACACATTTCTTCATAAAAGAGTGTACTGCTGTGATGCTAAGATTTTCTTCTGAACCACTGATACCTGTCCTCAAAGCTTGTTATGCTTGTTGGTGCAATCTACCAAAAGGTAAACACGGTAGGTTTTTAGACAAGAACTCGTGTTTCTCTTTCAAATGGTCCTGAAATATTTCTTGACTGAAACATTGAAGAGTTGCAGTTAACTAAAATATAGTCAAATATGAGACATCAAGTACCAACATTGCATAGAGCTTCAACTGAAGTGAGGAAATCCTGAGCCTGGGCACACAGGCAACAGCTGCCTCTCCCTGGCAGCCATATTTGGAGGCTGCTATTCCATAGATGATGTCGTAACAAAATATACCCCAATTTTAGAAACACTGAAATGTAAAAACATGCACTTTTCTTGAATGAATGAATTAACCAAGGGGATGGCTCCATTGTTCAAATAAAGCCAGCTGGGGGTGGTGTCCTGAGATACAGAAACCTAGGAATGAAAGTGGCAACCCTTCACGGAGGAGATCAAATCACGGGAGGAGATCAAACCACAACTTTACATCTCTCTGACTTTATATTCATGATTCCAGAAATCATTCTTTATTTGATGACATGAAGTTTAGGAACTTTCCGAATGAGAATAAAAGAAGCCTAAAAGGTGACCAAAACTCTCATTGAGATTCCTGCAGACCAATTAGTAAAAAGCAATTCACATTAGAGTATGTGTGGGCTCAATAAAAATGTATTGAACTTTAAAGTTAATCGAGCAAAAACTAAGATCAGAGTCTTCATTTCTCGATAAAAACCGTTTCCTAAATCATTTAATTAATGCTCTCTCCTAGGGGAAAAAAAAATCAGAGCTGGTATTATCATAGCAAGAGATTTACCAAATTAGACACATGGAAAGAAAGGGCATTACATTCCTAAAACGCTTTGTTTTGGCATTACTTCTTTGGGATTAAAGCAAGGGTTTATATAGACCTATGATTTTTTTTAAACATTGAATACATCCCTGATACAATTTTTTTTCATGGAGGCCTTTGCTACTCTATACCTTGTAACTAAAACTCAATTAGATATGATTTAAATATTTCTGTGGCCCCAGAAACCCATTTATTCTCTGGGCTACTATATTTCATTTATTCAACGCCATGGTAAGAACTAGAGAAATAAAGATGGGTAACACATAGTCCCTATCCTTAATGAGCACATAGGGTACTTGCCGAGATAGATCAACTAATTATTTCAATATAAGAATTGTAATAAAATATATCCCAGGAGGGTTATGTATTAGGAACATAGGTTAAGTTGTTACGTTGGTAGTAATAATGTCAACCTCAAATCTCAATAGCTCAGTATAACTAAGGTTTAGTTCTCACTCAAGTTATGTCTGATGCAG